TTTATTTTTTTTATTTGTTATTTTTTTTAAGTTTTAAAATGTATCTCACTCCTAGTATGCTCCACTGGAGTCATCTGGGGCTTGCAAGCATTTGTATGGTCTATGTTCAATCAAGGATAGATGTCTTCATTTCTCCAAATAATGGTTCATCTCACAAATAATGAGTACATAAAAAAGATTTAGAAGCTGTATTGAAAATAGTGTTAAATGTCATGAATTTCAGCAATTTAAAATAACTGGTTTCTACTTTGTTAGACAAATCTCATGTTTTGCATGCTGTTGCCAGCTCAGAGGAGCAAGTAAAAATGTTAAAAACATTTTTTTAATGGTTCCTATTTGAAGATACAAAAGTGCATTTAGTCAAGATTGTAAAGCAACCCAGTTCAAGTTGTTCAAAGGCACAGAGGTGTTTCTAAAGACTGGGGTCATCCTGTGTCCTTCCCTCCACCCTGTTGAGCAGTCTTCTGTATCTATCAAAATTTTTGTTGGAAGTAACTATTCAGTGAGATCTTTTTTATATTTTATACATGGTTTGCATTGCTAGAACTTTCTCCCTTGAGTTTCTTGTTCTGCTGAACAGTATGAAAGTTAGCATTTGCATGTGTTTCTGTCAACAGTACTGATCCATAAATCCCCTGTTTGAAGCCTTTTGAAGAACCTGGATATACAGGTTTCTAGCTTGTGCTAAACTCTATGCCATAATATTTACTGGCACCTGCTGATATTTGTACCCAAGCTATTAAGGTAAACTAAACTAACTTTTGAAGTAATGCTGCTTTGCCCTTGCTGGAACTGATGACTTCACTATATGGGTCAGATAGGAATGCTTTTCACATCCCTTACAAAAACGGTCCAATTAGCTCTCTTATGGTATCCAGGTTGTCTTTGCAACTAATGTCAGAGCCTGATGAAGAAATAAGTTGTTCAGTTTCAGTCAAATTCTCCCTTTTTAAGGGTAAGTTAATTTGTTTAAATATTTGTTTAAATACTTGTTAAAATAAAGAGAACTATTTAAAAATACCTTAAAAAGAAGAAGAGTTGCACTGGAATAATTAAAATAATGTTTGCTAATTAAAGGCAAGCAGATTCAGAGGAATAATTGAAACCTCAGCATATTATGGGGAAGGAATATGCGGTCACTGGATTGAGACTTTAAATATCTTACATGGTTAACAAGTCAATACAATAATTATTATTTTAAAACCTGTATATGACACAAAGCCTTACCAATGTAAAGTGTAGTCTGAGTGGGAAGATGCCTTCTGCCCTTCCTTAGTGTGTTATTTCAGCAAGATCTGTATGCCTTCAAAGGATTATTATTTAATAACAGTATTTTCATACTCTAGTCACTACTTATAAAGCTTGATACTAACCGAAAGTTAGATACATCAAACGTGAGTATCAGTGTCTTAGTTTCAGCTGGGATGGAATTGTTTTCTTTGGAGTGTCTGGCATGATGCTATGTTTTGGTTCTAGGAGAAAAACAATCTTGATAACACACTGATGTCTATAGTTGCCTACTGAGCCAAGGCTAGTCACAGTGAAGGACCCAAGGAGCTGGGAGAGAATGGAATTGGGACAGATGACTTAGACAAGCCAGAGGGATATTCTGTACCATATGACATCAAGTGGAAAGAGTTTTGAAGGGGTTGGGAGTTCATGATCTCTCTCTTTGCTGCTCAGAGGGCTAGTTTGGCATCATTTGGGGAGTGGTGAGCAATTACTTGTGCATCACTTGTTAAATACATTGTGGTGGAAGCCCCATCCTTGGAGACACTCAAGGTCAGAATGGGAAGGGCTCTGAGCAACCAGGTCTAGCTGTGAGTGTCACTGTTCATAGGTGACCTTTAAGTGTCAAACAATTCTATAAATCTGTGATAATACAATGAGCATAGAATATGTGTTCTTCAGCTTTTCTTTGTGATTGAGCAGTGCCAGAGAAAAGGTACTGCTCTGACTCCTTGTGGTCATTCATATGTATAGTAAAGTGTTATTTGTTCTTTAAAAATGAAAAGAAATATCAATGAGTTTTAAATGTTATCTATCTATAAGTCTTTCATAATACTTTCTGTTAAATGTAAATATTTAATTGTGTATGCAATATATTGCGTATGTTGTGATTGCACTGAGAATGAATAATTGAACAGGAATTATCCTCAAGTAAAACTTGCACAGGACTTACATGTTCTCTACATTTTAATTGTTTTTTTTTTTTCTCATGGTAGAAAGTGCTCAAACTGGGCTGCAGGTTGGATCAAGGAGTACAAATGTGTTGGCTCATCTTGACTCTAGTTTAGATGTCATCTAGAAGTCATTCAGATAGATAACATAACCTTCAGGTACAAGAAAATATGGTGACAATTAATTCATCTACTTCATTATCTTCTTGATGTAAATGAATGTTAATCAACTCTTGATAATCCAAATAAACTGAAATAGAAACCTATTGACCAGCCTGTTTTGCTTTTGCTTTTTCTCTTTTTATAGCTTTGAAGCAGTACTTCACGTTTTATTTCCGTGCTTTGATGTGAATGAGCCTGAAGGAACAACATGGTTTGGGATTGGTTTGATTGATTTGTTCCTTATGCTTTAAAAACAAGTTGACTATAGGATTTTAAATGTGATTAGCAATATAGCATCTCATCAATTTACCAGTGCAAAATGATGTAGTACTTTTCAGCATCTACCTCCAGGTATATAAGCAACATAAATAATTTTCTGAAATAAAATTTCTTTGCTATTGCTATGTTTATTCATTAATTGGGAAAATAATTGATTTATTAATCTAGGTAATTAATTTAGTTATGCTGTTATTTTAATCCTTATAAAAGAACTTTGTTCTTTATGATTCATATATTCTTACTTGCAGATGTAATATGTCAGAGCAAAGTCCACCAGAGTAAGCACAGTGTGAAATAATGAAGATGCAATTTTGCTACGCTTCTACATTTGAGATGGTGTGTTGGAGCTGATTTATTCACCTGAACTTAAGTAGCAGGCAAAGTACAACTGTAGAGTATGAGCTCATACACTCGTGTGCACTTGTTTCTTTGTCAAGCTTCACTGTAAGAGGTAAGGTGCTTTCCTAATACTGTTTTCCTCAGTTGCTTTCTTAATAACTTATAATACCAATTTCTATTCCAGAACTAAATGGATCTGTAAGTTATTTTAATGGACTCTATAAATATGAGGGAAGAAAAAAGACTGACTTGCTCAAAAATGCTAGAAGGAAGAAACAGCTAACCTAGAAGCTTTAGATCCAAATACAGATTTCCTAAAGTTTTATAATGTTGGTGGGATAGGTTTAGATTTATAGTCATTTCTAATAATAATTTCAAAAATAATAATAGCAGTTTTCAGTGAAGGGGGTACATGACAGTAGGAAATGCAAACACAACACAACTCAAGTACTGTAGGGGAAACCATGTGCTGAATTTCATGGCAAGTAATTTTTTTTTTTTACAGTCTCTCAATGTCAAATAACCAACTTTGGATGTAATAGGAAATTGTATGTTAATAGTAAATCAGAATTATTACTGTATAGCTGTAAGCAGAATAAACAAATTCTGTTTTGCTGGTTTTCTGTCTGGTAAGTACAAAAACTAATTCTCAAGCCTGACTTCTATTACAGTGATATATTTTGAACATTTTTAAAAATTTCACTCTGGAAAACTGTTTACTGGATCTGCTGCTGAATCTTTAGATTCATAAGGAATGTGGCTTTGTTGCGGTGTAAACCACTGTGGAGAAAGGAGATGGCCTGTGTAGACTCTGTGCTGACGCTGGCAGGAAATATGCTCTGACCAAAGAGCTGCTTGCTAGAGATATATACTCAGCCTTGATCTAAAGGGTTTGGCTAAATTTTAAGCAAATTTGGCCTTGGAGAGCATGGGAGATGTTATTCCGATTCAGTTTGAGCTTTTACTGATACAGAAATACTTCTTCAGTCAGACTGGAATGTGCTTAGGTGAGGACCCCGATAACAGCTTGAGACTTCTTTCTGTATTGGATGAAGAGTTACTGAAGATGTAACCCAAAAAGGAGGACAAAATGAAGCTCAAAGCACTTTTGATTCCAAATATTGAACCCCTGTGTGTCTCGAGGTGACTGAAGGAAAGTGAAAAAGTTCCTTTTTGCTTTGTTTACTGAGCTTTTTTTCCAGATCTGATTTAAGCCTGTGAGTTAAGCCTGTGACTTGTTCTTTATAGCTATGGATGGAAATTCATCCAAAACCAAGTCCAGAATTGCTGAAGTGAATTCTTCAGTATGGGAATATTCACAGTACTAGAAAGGCATGGGATTGAGTGTTGTTTGAACTAGAGAGAGTTAGAAGAGCTAGAGCTCCTGATTGTGCCAGCTTGTCCATCAGTGCCTCTGCTTCAATACTATTCACATACATGGGGAATAAGCAAACTTCAGTTCTGATAGATGTAAGACGTCCTTTTAAGGTATGTCATTATATTATTTTCTGTTACGTTTTGTTACAGATTATTAGGTTGTTTTTCTTTGTCTATCATGGCACAAGGTAAGAGAGGTGAGCTACAGTGTAAGTGACACAACACAGGGCTCCATGTCAGAACAGCCACCACCTGGAAGTACTGTGAAACATCAGGAAAGGGAGATGCACTTGAAAGATGGAAGAAGCCATTTTCGACAGAGGCTCACATTGAAACCAGGTGTTTCAATACCTTTCTCCTAAAAGAGAGAGAGTTGTACTAAAGGTCATAAATGTTTCGATTTTCAGTTGCAGTCTGTATTATAGCTGTGGATTGTTGCAGGAGGGCTGACTCTGAAGAAAGATGCTGTTGAAGAGTTCAGCAGGGTTTGTTCTGATCTTGCTCTCCCATTGCACTGCGCCGGTGACCACCAAAGAGGCAGTGATCTTGGCTAATGCCCACCTTCTGTCTCAAAGAGATTATGATAGACTGGTTAACATCAATGATAAAGGTACTCGTGAAGGGTGAGTGAGTGATCGGGACGTGTGCTGTGCTTTACTGTATTGCTCTATGGAATATTTTCAGCATATTTGAAAGTTAGCTCTGCAACAGTATTTTGAAATATGAACACGTCCTATCCCAAAGTTCAAAATCTTCAAATCTGTTGCTTTGCTGACACCTAATTCAAGAGGAATTAACAATTAAAAATATTTTTCTAAAAAATATTTTGTTGCCTTTTAAGAACTATTCACTGACAATCATGTCTTGATTACATCAGTCACGTCAGGACCTGAACCTCATTGATACTTATAACTGAGATATTGCTCTGCCTACCTAGCCTGCAAGGTCCAACTTGGTAGGCTTTCTAACACATTTGCTGGAGTAAAGCCCACATAAAACGCAGACAAAATGAGTAGTGTATTTGGTTTAGTTTCTTCCTTTGCTGGCATTTGAGGGTCTATAAAATTCACTTTTCAAATTAATTCTGCAACAACCAGCTTAAATAGTTTTCTCAGTTGGTTGATAGAAACTGTTCTGTTTTGCACGAATAACATTCACTGGGTAAATACAAGTGTCACTGTGTATACTGCTGGCTTGAAGACCTCTATCTACTTAAATGATCATTCTGTAAACTTGCAGGATCAGATTTGGAGTCAGTCTGTCTACCAGGGGAATGCTCTAAAAACTGTGGTCCAGTTTTTACGTGACTGCATTTGAAGTCCTTCTCTTTCAGGATGTGTTATAATTTCTTGCAGATAGTATTGAGACAAAGTATTTTATTCATGGCTGGAGATTCTATTTGGTAATGAAAAGCCTAGAAGTAAGACCTCAGAAAGCCTACATACTTCTGTAAATCTGCCTTGAGTGGCTTAGAGCACCAGAAAATATCTGAATATTAGATATAAAAGGCTAGATTTAACACAATGAGGATACTATGCATAACAGTATTCAACAAGTTTAGTCCAGCTGGACTTTTCAAAGGTTGCAGTACAGTTCTTCATACATTGATATTAAATCAGAGAAGGCATTGTAATTTCAGTAAAAGCTGAAAAGGGCGATGACTTAAGTAGAAAAGTAAAGTCAAAGGGAGTCTGGAAACGTTTGCTTCTAATGTATACTTACTAAGTATTAGTATTACTAAGTACACTGAAACAATAGTAGGAATATACTGATAAAATTTCATTCTTTACATAATGTAGAGAAATGCCCATACGAAGAGCCAGAATGTTACAGAAAAAAAAATATCAGATATTCTTAAGTAATACTGATGGGATAAAAAATAAAGTATGAAATTCCAGATTTTACTTCAAGATTAGAACTTATCAGTTACAAGGATCCAAAGATTGAAGTCTAGATTAATGGAAACAAAATGTTACAAGTTCAATCATTGAATTCATCAGCAGAAGTGTTTCTAAAAAGACTATGGATAAATCAGAGGCACCACGTAAGGCTATTTGCAATACGATGCGTAAATTTAATTCACATTCTAGGAGATAAATTTGCATCTGAAAAGCTTCTAAAACAATTGAGAACCAGAAGATTTATCTTACACAAAATAATAACAATTTTTTTAGCCTAACTAAACAAAGGCTGATTAAAATGTAGGTGTCCTTATTGTGTGTGACAGCTTATAACCAGGAAAGAATGTGTTCAGTTAGGGTTAGCAGGGAGTCTCTGATCAATGCTTTTGTCAAGGAGAAGTATTTTTTTTTCTGAGCTTTTATTATTTTTATATTTGGAAATATTTTTCCTTTGTTGTTGTTTGACAATTTTTGGAAAAAAAAACCTGTGCTTTTCCTGAAATATTCTAGCTTCCCAGAAGAATGCTTCTGGTGAAAACAAAGCAACTGAGTTCTAAATACAATATCAAAATTCCTATCAGTTATTGTCAGGACAGAGCTTATAATTTCCTAGCTCTGAAAAACTATCATATTACATCACAGGTGGTCTTTAAGAAATTTTTCAATAGAAACATTAAATGGTTAAGTCTTTGTTAAATATAAATAAAAAATTATTTGTTAAATACAAATTACAAGTATTTGCTAGTAAAATCACATGCCTCTTAGGTGCGAGCTAGTGACTACTTGAACTGGAGGAAAAGGAGGAGTGTGTTTGTACATTTTGGTTTTACAACCATACTTTCACCATAAATAAAATCACACTTCTGTATTACAAATTATAACAAAACCTTTCGAGAAGTTTCCAGTGTGTTCTGCCCTCGAATCATCCCCTTTTTGCCAAGTGCATGCCTGCCAGTTGGGCTGAAGTCAGTCTGAGTCAGTTTGCAGCCAGATCAAGGCAATCTTGTGCTTACTCTGGAGGGCAGAGTTTAAAAAAAAAAAAAAATTGAACAAATTTAATTTATAACTTTTTTTTTTCTTCTATTTAGACTATCTAAGGGATTGTTTTGAGATTTTTCAGCGCTCCAGAGGAAATTCCAGAGATGGTCTTTACATCATCCAACCAAAGGAAGACCCAATTGTTGTCTCTTGTAACATGCAGGATGGTGGCTGGACAGTAATCCAGCACATTACAGCCAACAGTACTGTCGACTTTGATAGGACATGGCAGGACTACAAATATGGGTTTGGCTTTGTTCATGACAACCACTGGTTAGGAAATGAGTACATGCATCAATTAACTGGCGGCTCTGTGCAATATGTACTTGGAGTTAAACTTGTAGACCTAAATGCTGAAATCAAATGGGGACAGTACGAACCATTCCGTATTGAAGATGAAGAAGCTCAGTACCGAATCAGGGTTGGCCTCTATGAAGGCAATGCTACTGATGCTCTGACTCTGGATACAGAAGCTTACCTCCATGACAACCAGAAGTTCACCACCAAAGATAGAGACAATGACAATTACTTTCAGAATTGTGCCAAATTAGAACACAATGGTATTCCTGGGGGAGGATGGTGGTATGACGCATGTGCTGGGGCAAATCTAAACCGTAGGAATGTGATATACTGGCAAAAGGACTGCAACAAGAAGCATTTGTGCAAGTTTTCATGGATGATGGTCAAGCCCATTGAACACAGCCCATTGTATGCAACTAACTCTTGTCTGTGTCAGAAGGAGGAACTGTAAGTGAGCCATGTATCCTTTAAATGGAACATGGATTCTTTGTCAAGTGACTGAAGTAAAATCACACTAATTAAATAATAATTGTTCTGAAAAATTTAGCCTCTGCAAGGGCTTTGTGATCACATATTGTCCAGGACTGGACCTAAACCATATAGGTATTTACAAATCACAAAAATGAGAATAGGTGACCTCTAACAAAAGATTTACACAACCCATTTTATAGTATTTTGGCCATAAGAGGAGTTAGGTGTGAAATCTGGGAGGTGTAGCAGATACACATACATGCACATGAATTTTAGAAGGTTTTGCTCCAGGATGAATGTTCATCATTAACTGCACATCTTCACGAATTATGCAGGAAAGAGATTTCAAGGGAAGTACCTATATTTACAAAATGCTTATTAGAGAGCATTGTGGCAGCATAAAGCCTTTCCTTTTTACCTTTAGTGAAAGATATTAAAATATTTTTACTTTTTTACTTGGTAGGAGCCTTATGTCCAAATGCTTCTTTAATGATTCCATATCTAATGAATTACTCAGAACAGTATTTTCTTCCTTCTTATTGAGCACCCAGAGCTAATGGCTTTTTTTTTTTTAAGTACCATTGTGTGATAAGAACAAGTGTTGGCATTACTTTACATGTGCTGGCTTCAATTGTTTTGGTATTCAACCTTGAGCTTATTTAAACAGTGCTTTTTTTCCTCATTGTAACACAAAGAGAAAGCCTTTAAATTCACGATGAATTTGTCTGTTTTAAAATCATAAATAAAAGGATTTCGGTGTTGGTAACCTTGAAGATCTTGTTTACTTGTACAAGTGATGGGGTTACTTCACACTTTTCAATATAATTGGAATAGCCGAATTACTACTTAAGAGTTTTCATTCTTGAATTCTACAAATTGCCAGGATAATAATTAGAATATCTTGTATTTTATTGTAGATTTTCAGTTGCAGAAACTCAGGCAACAGATACTGGCGAAGTTCTGCTTTTTAATTAAAAAATGGGATCTTGTCATTTCCATGAAAATTAATTTAGAGACAAATAAACTGTAATGTGTTTAGAGAAGACCAAGACTAGCATGATTACTTAAGAAGAGAAATTAATTGGAAAATGGAAAAGTAATGAAAGAAAATTTTATTTTTTACATTGCACTGTAACACTTTCAGAAGGAGATACAGGTAAGTTGTGCAGGTGAGGCCAATATAGTGTATATGCATATTTTGCAGCAGCTAATGTTTTGCCTTCAAATTGTGATTAAAAAAAAGAAGTATAATAGAGGAAGAAGGGAATGAATTTATGAATTGAATTGATGTAATCAAGTCAAATAATGTGGATTCTTCTGCACCTGCATCAGGAAACCTCCAAAGGTTGTAATGAAGATACAAGAAAATTGCCAAGTCTCCCATAGCTTTTACCATCAAGTTCCCATCTAGATAGACAGATTCTAACACTACTGCCAAAAAACGATGCAAATAATCTTGACATGGAAACACACAACTGAAAGCCAGCAGGCTGTATCTGATCCTCAAAGGCAAATAATCTGCTCTGCAGCTCGCTTATCCTGCTTGGAGGGTTTTGTAGGAAAGGACTTGTGGAGATATGCTCCATGAACAATTCAGGCACCACCAGCCCAAATCTCGCTGTCTAATTTTGGAGGCACTCTCTAGTGTTAAATGGAGTCCTGCAGACCTCTGCTGACACTGAATTCCAGTATGGGAGTTCGATTAACATATAATAATAAATGGTATTAACAGATCTGCAGACAAAACATGACAAGATTAACACAGTTTAAGCACTGACTTCAATGGAAGTCATGGAGTGTGGTACATTCCATGCTTCTGAGTGAAGAAAGAATGGAAACTACTCTAAAAGCTGGACTGAGGATGAAAATAATTAGGAATATTCCAATCCACTCATCAACACTTCTTTCTTAGAGCTTTCAAAGAGAAGGATGTGTTGTTTTGGAGCTCAAGTTTGGAAGTACATTTCAAATGGAGAAGCTACTGAGTATACAGAAAATGGTAACTCAAGCTCATCTGTTATGAACTTCTGAGGAAAGTCATTTGGTTTCCTAATACCCAGGTGACTCCTCCATATTACTCCTATCTCTATAGAAAGTAAAGAAAATTAATCCCAGAGGGAAATTACATAATTCTGTTTTTTTTCTTTGTTTTCCTAAAGCAAATAATCCAGAGTGGGTAGAAATGCCTACATCAGAGTATAAAATGACACAGTAATTTGAGGAAAGTGATGTCCAAATATGAAATGTCAATGTGAAGATTTTAGAAATCCCAAACTATGAAGGGCTGATAGGAAGCTGTTTCCTACTAAAGGTAAGGAACTGATTTTACAAAATTCTATTCAAAATACAGAGTCCAGTGACAGTCTGCAGGTATTCAATTCTGAGTTTCAAACTGAGTATCCAATTCCATAATAATTGTGTTCTAAGAGAAAACACTATCTTCCAGACTTGCATCAGATTTTTTAATTGTTATAATGATTTCTGATTTAGATTTAATATACTTACCACCTCCCAGTGCCATATTTATTTTTTCAGGTGTCCTTAGGGATGTTTGCATTAAGATGTATTAGTTCAATTAATTTGACATAGATCATGTGTGGAATTTGACAAGGAGGCAATGATACAGATTTTTTTAAATGCTCTGTGTAGGAGATAAAATGATCAGAAAGAATTCATTAAATAATTAAAAGTAGAAATTGGGACTTTTCATGAGGCTCGGCTCTAAAACTGGAACAGAATACATAGGGCGATAAGGAAGTACAATTAAGGATTTTGCTTAAGTACATCTCTGGACTCCTCAAGTCCATATAAACCAGTGCAGTTCATGCTATGGGTACAATTGGGATGAGGAACAAAACTCCACGTACAAAAATACCTTTCAGCAATTAACAGCAATTGTTAATTGAAAGTGCATAGAATAATTATACATCAGAACAATTATGATTAGTAACTAAATTATAGAATTAAGTTAATGGAAAAATATGTTGTATTCTATTTTACAGGTTCTTGTTGTATTTTCTCTAGATCTCTTGATTTTAGACTTCCCCAGTTCTGTGAACTCTTTTGAGTCTTTATAAAGTATATTTATGTAAAATGAATGGGTTTCTGAGATACACAGGGAGACTTGCTTATATAAAAAAGGAGCGACAAAAACAATACCTCTGTATCCTTTGTGGGAAAATTTAACATTCAAAAATATTTAAATGTGTAAGGTCTCTGAAAAGCTTAGTTGGGGATGTATGTTTATACAACTATATTGATAATACATACATAGATATATAGACAAATATATGCATATGTATGTATAAATAAAATGCAGTTTAAGAAAAGGTCTTTTCACAAGTCCATGACCATAATTAATGAAAGAATCAGTAAAAGGTTCATTAAAACAGAAATACAGATAGTGAGGTTGTTTTACATTGCAGAAGCCCCACAACATGTTTAAAGGAACCCTTATAGAGCTAGAAAACAAAATAAAATTAAGAAACTAAATACTAACTCACACTCTAATGAGTTTTTGTGTTTTCTTATTTTTTTTTTTTTAAGGGTGAACAGCTCATGTAACAATAAAGTGACAAACACATCTTAATATAATTCCAGGTCTTTACAATGTTCCCAGATTTGGCAGTGTAATGTCTCACACTGTGAAGTGTTAGCAGCATAGTTTGAGCACACATTTCACAATTATACTGAACCAACACTGTTGCATCCAGCACCATCTATTCTAATACATTTACTAAGCACAGAATCCATAAACATTTACAGAGCACTCTAGTTCAACAGAAGCCAAAACCAACAAAATATATTCAATTTAATTTCAGAAGTAGAAGCCAATGCTTTACTTTAGAAACAACATCACAGGTAGCAGGAATAGTTACTATCTCATGAATTTTGCCTTTAACTACAGCTTGTGCCACAGTGGGCATTCGTTTGCTAAAAATCAAACACAGTTTACTGAATGTCCGAACCAATGTAATACAAAGTTACCTACTATAATAACTGCCATGTACGTAGTTACTGCACACAGAAAAAGCTCTGGGTAGTGATAGAGGAAAACTGATGAAAGGGTCTTTGAAAAGACCAATGCATTCTTTTAATAAGTAGTCATATGCTAATGCACACAAAGTATTAGGCACAGTGTGGTGTGGTAAAAAATCAATCAAGTGAACGCAGAGAACATATTTTTACATTACTACGCTGCTAATCTTTCACTAACAGTATTCCCCTCTGGAGATTGAGGATAAAAAATATTAATTACTTTACTGTGATTGCTGACATGATGGAATTATATATCTGCAGGGAAATATGTTGATGATAAAATAATAAATTATATGAATGATTCTGCTGAGAGCAATGTTATGTTCAGGATGACTAACATGATCACTGAAATATGCAGCTGGGTCTCATCACTGCTGCAATGTCCCCCTAACATGTATAATAGCTAAAAAAAAACAAACATTGGCCCAAATTTATACTTCAGAGCATCTCACCCTGAATTTTGATAGAGAGGCTAGAACTGAATCTGAACTTTGTGAGGCAGACTCAGTGAGGTGTGTGAAATTCCTTCTCTGTTACTCTTAAGTATTTGTGTACTTTAAAATTTCACTCCTTGTGAATCCTATCACCACTAACATATTTTTCTACCACTATGAGCCAGGCATCATTTCCATTCAGTGGCTTCGTGCTAAAAGCAGCCTCGTCTTCACATACTTATTTGGTCAAAGGTGCACGACTTCTGCCAGTCAAACAGATACCAGATAGGCACGTGAATGTCTTTACCACATTCGAAGCCCTGGCAAATCTCAGCTACTGGACAGGTGATTAGCTTACTGCAGCTATACCTGGAGTCCCAGGAGCCACAGCTCCAGGTGAGGTTGTCTCTAGCCCCCAGTGCTGTGGCAGACAAAGTTCTGCTGGACTGGGAAACTTCTGTTTCCAAACATCTAATTTGATTAGTATTTGTAAAGATATCTACAGATACAAGAGCTGTGAAAGCACAATACTTCTATATAAATAATGGAGAAGTACTTAAAAAATATTTCTTCTTTCAGAAATACCAATTTTGCCATAGCTTCCGATAATTTTGTGATAGATAGGTGAATTTGCAGGGCATTGATGCACGTTTTTGTGCATACACTTGCAAGGGGAAGTGCAATAGAGAGACTGCAAAAAGGATTTGACTTATGTCCTGTAAAATAGACGAACTGTGTCCATCCTTATAGTCAGTTCTGATCAGTACTATTGTTACTACTGCATACATTTAAAATATATCCTTCAGAGGCATTAGGAAATGAAGAAATACAAATTCATAGATATCTGCTAACTATCACCATTTTTAGATAACATTGACTTGCAGGATGGAACTGAGATGGGGATTGGATTCTCCTTATATGAAATACATTTTCTGTTTCCTTCCCTATGAGCCCTTCATCTGTCTCCCCAGAAAAGACATCTTAACGTGCAAATTTTCTCAGTATTACATTCTCCTGTAGTAAGTGTATTCTTTTGGAGTAGTAAGAATCTCCCTAACCATTTAGTATTGAGGATAACGGTATTTCCCTCTTTAAATAGTCCTTGCTTCATTCCATAGCGTGTGGAAAAGTCTCAAAACAGAAGTAGTATGTGTTCCATTGCTTGCTCCACTGAAAAATAAATAGACAATACAGCAGAAAGGAGGAAAGGAGCTATAGGAAGAAACAGTTCTGCACTAAAAGGAGATAGGCTGGATAACTTGCCCTGATGACTGGATGATAATCATACGCTAATTCCTAGAAGTTTACAAGACACGCTACAATTTCTCAGGCTGAAAGAAAGGACAGAAGAACACAAACACAATAATTTTAATGCAGATCTACTGCATAATCATGAACACCCTGTCAGCAACCACTGACTTCTTTATCCCAAACACACTACTTTCATGCAAAATATCACTTTTTGCTGACTATTTTTTTTTAACACATAGACATATAAAACAACAGCTTTGAAAATACGGAATTAAAAGTCCTTTACTAGGCTATGTTAATATCTATTTTTCTATTTATCTCTTACATAGGAGTAGTTATGGCATTCGAGTATTGCCCTGCCAGTACAGTTTTTCTTCCACTTTTTTCTTTTTCCACTGGCAGAAAAGCAGCATCTTAAAAGTTTTCCTGAAAGTTTTGTTACAGAGAGCATAACACATGGGATTAACAGTGCTGTTCACATAGCATAGCCAATATCCAAGGTGCCACAATGTCAGAGGAATGCAGTCCGAGCAGAATGTGGAGATCAAAACCATTATATTGTAGGGAGTCCATGTGATGATAAAAGCCAAAAGAATGGCACTCAAAGTCTGTGCTGCTTTACGTTCTTTTATAAGAACCATCCTTTTCCTTTTGGTGATCTGGCTATTTATATTTGGATCCATGCTTTTGATGGAAGGATCCTTCGACACAGCAGCAGAACAAGGAGTTATTTTTACCTTACGGCAACCATTGTTGGCTTCCTGAGTGCCATCAGCCTTAACCACTAAGCGGAATTTGTAGGCCACACATTTCTTACTTTTTTGGCCAATGGCAGGTGACAAAAAGTATTGCTGAGTCTCAAAATCATTTTCTTCAGGTTGGTTTTTGACAACAGTATCCTTACTTTCCCTTTCATTAAACTCTTCTTCCTTACCTTTAGATGGACTCCCATAAGCTACTTGGAAAACAGGATCAGTGGTAAGTTTGTCCTCTTCTTCTGATGATGCATAGCTGCTGCAGGTGGTCAGTTGGTCAGCCTTAGCCCACTCAGTGCACGTGCTCACTGCCTGGGATGCCTTCACTGTAGCTGATGTACTTCGACTGGATGAAGACCAGGAAGCCTGACATCTCTCCCTTTTGACTAAGTTTTGTTGCTTGCAACTGAAGCAAGACTTCAGGAAAGCTTTTCGAGGCTTTATCGTCTCAAATTCGGCCACAGACTCAGAACCCTGAAGTTCAGCAAGGTCCTTGGTACGTTTCTCAGTCTCTTTGTAGATGCGGCAATATAAAATGGTCATCACTGACACTGGAATGTAAAAAGCAGCAATTGCAGTACCAAAAGTGATAATGGGCTCGTATAAAAACTGTATCTGGCATTCCTCAGGGGGCACTGTTCTTTCACCCACAAAATACTGCCAGCATAATATTACAGGTGCCCATAGAATGAAGGAGATTAGCCAAGCCAGGCCAATCATGATGCCAGCTCTTTTGGGCGTGCGCTTAGCTCTGTATGTCAGAGGCCTTGTGATGGAAAAATATCTGTCAAAGCTGATGACTAGGAGGTTCATAACTGAAGCATTGCTAGCTACATAATCCAGCGCTAGCCACAGGTCACACGCCAGGCTTCCAAGAGACCAATGGCCTATGAGTATATAAGAGGTATAGAGGTTCATAGAAAATATTCCAATGATGAGGTCTGCACAGGCAAGACTAAGCAGGTAGTAGTTGTTAACAGTTTTGAGCTGACTGTTAACCTTGAAGGATATCATTACAAGAACATTTCCCACTATGGTTATTAAGCTTACAATTGCAGTTACAGTGGCAATAGTAATAACTTCCCAGAGGCTATGCCCTTCTAACTGTTTATGGTTGATTGACGAACTATTTATAACAGTGGAATTGCTGAATAGATTTACTTCCATTCTTTTTCTTGATCAATTGTCATCAAATCTTAGCACTCTTGCATATTGCTTTCTGTATATCTTTTGGAGGCAGCTGTAAAGATAAAAGGAAAAAAGAGAAAAAGAAAGCAGCTCATTAAATAGCACAGACTTCCATTAGATATACCTTGAAACACTTGTAAAGCAATCCATCAAATTATTTGTGTTCTCTTTCTGCACTGTCATAACTGTTTCTATCATTGTGAACATAAATAAAACACACGTGTGTTCTAAGACAATGTACTTTTATGACATTTCTAAATGCAATCAAAACAACTATTGTTTTGTAAGATGTTCAATCATACGAGCTCTTACATTTTTAATACCTTAAGTGGCACTCTACATATTGTTAAAGACAGACATTAAATTTTTGCAATGTAATGAGACAGTGAGTCATGGTGTTGTTTCTTACAGTACTGTATAGAAGACGTCAAGATTTCAGAAATGGTCTCTGGGAAATTTGAGGAAGTCACTGTTTCAGAATCCATCAGCAGAAAAGGAACACAAGGATACTGAAGATGCAGTGGGAGATAGTAATCATGCTGGCATGGTGGCACTGGTAAATAATTAGGTGTTAGAAGTGCTCTGCTGGGGAATTTTTAGAGTTAAGCAAATAGGAAAGTACAAAAAAAAAAGTTTTCAGAAAAATAAGTTAAGCTGAAAAGACTTTTCCCTATGGGAAGGTCTGAGCAAGATAAGGTGTGGAAGTGCTAGAAGGATTGGTTGAGTGAGTAGTGGGGCTGAGGATGGAAACAATTAAAATGAAGGGGACTCATCAATGGATAACCTCAGTGACAAACTGCAACAAAAACAATTTAATACTGTAGACTGCACAAGCAGTAGAAGGAAATGAAACCACTGTTATTATATTTATAAATATATCTCTGATGTCCATACCTTCCTACAGTCTCTCTCATATGGTGTAACTTTTTTCGCTGCTGTTTTCTTGTCTCTGAGAATGCATGCCTGACTCAGGCAATTAGCTTCTTTCACAGATCTCTGCTGGTTTTTAGTTATTCCATCACATCTGATGATGTTAATCACTTGTTTGATGCTTACTTTTTCTAGGCCACGTAATTTTGGAATAATCAAGTAGTTATTAGGTTTTTAAGTCAGAAATAGAAAAGGATGTTTAAATTTATCAGCCATCTAGTCAGTAAAAAAACAGGTAAGAAGATCCTTTTTTTTTTTTTTTTTGTAACTGATACGGGTTCAGCTAAAATTATCATATAGGTCACCAACTCCAACTTTTAAGTCTTCAGGATTCTCTCTCTACAGAATCTCTATTTTGTAGTCCTTCCTATCCATTCATTCCACTTCTCTTTCATCCTAGCTCTTGGAACATTATTTTATTTGGTCTTTGCAAATGTCTTGCATTAACTGCAAGCTTTCCAGCCTGTACTTTTCACACATTGTCATCTATTTTAGTGCCAAGTAGAAGGCTCTTGAATAGATGAATATCAGCTGAATATATAAATGTTCTATAGCCACTTGCTGAATTTTCAGAAAATAATCTCAATATTTTCCACTGTCATTTTACTTTATATTTTATTTTATATGTTATTTTTTCCTTCACTTTTGTTATCCGGTGCCTTTTAAGTATCCACAAAAGTATACCAGATTTCTTCTTCAAACATTCCATAAAGACTACTTCTTGTGATGAGATTTGATAACAGTAAGCTTGCTGGTGTACTGAGACCACTGCCTATGACTCTAACCGAAGTGGTGCTTTTCCATCTGTGTTTGTCTCACTGTCATCTCCTGACTTATATTTAGATGTCCATAAGTCTGTATCCTGTTTATGCATAATGCATACTGAGTGTAGCTCAACAGGATTTTAGTTCATGTATAGGCCTTGTAGCCTAGCAATAACCACAGTAACTATAACATATGCAGGTTGACCATCTGTATGCTTAGCTTCTCTGGCCTCATGAGCCAGCCTAGCAGCCAAGAATAGCAGAAGTGACACAGCAGTTCCAACGAGCCCTAAGTGAAGGAAGAATTTTCATCCTGGTTCTAAACTCTGCAGAAATCTACAAGAGAAAGGAGATGGAGGCCCTTGCTTCTTGCTTTCTTCACAACAGCTCTTATTAGCAGGGCAGCTGACCTCAGACAGCTAAGCTCTAATTTAGTCAACTGTGCTCCTAGAAAGGGGATGTGCACTGTGCCTGACAACTAACATAACTGAAACATTGCCAGTGCTCATAGCTGTTTGGCAAGTGAGATTTCAGAAAAGCCTTGAGACATCCTTAAAAAGGCATCAAGTATGAATGTCAATCAGGCACACGAACAAACCTCTATTAACTGGCTGCATTCTACATTAGCATCATAGAATCACAGAATTATTGAAGTTGGAAAAGATTCCAAGATTGTCCAACCCCAACCTATCCCCACCATGCCCACTAACCATGCCTAACACCTGGGGTTCTGCAGCAGGTTAGGAAGATTACAGGAGGTTGAATTTCTGTTTTTTTCCTAGAATATGACACCTTTCTCAGAATAGTGGAAAGTAGAAATTATAATACTTTGTCTTTTGTCATAGGTAGCAAGTGAACAAGTGTGCTCCCCAATCTGGTCTTTTAGCCTCTCTAAAACTGGAAATTAGGAAAGACTTCTGAAGCTACCCCACGTAGACTGCAGACCACAGAACAAAAGGAGAAGCCGAACTTGTTGCCCTAACACAACTGCTCTTGGATTGATATGACTTTGGTAGGGGGAACACAGATGATATGGTATATACATTGTAATTAATGTACAAACAAAGGACAGAAGAGCGTTGTGAGGGTAAGTGTCCTCACAAAGAGATCCCTAAATGTATCATTTTGGGGAGCCGCACACAGCTCATCTCCTCACAGTGATCCTCTGCTGTTATATGAAAGCTTAGCTACTTCTTTTCTTTTTGAAGGCTTTTCACACTTCCATTCTTATTTTTCTTCTTTGCACCAATCTTACACCAGCACTCTTATATTCACCTACTATCTTTTTTGAATACATTCTGCTTTCTCCAGTGCTGTTCTTCACGCTTGGTATGAGTTCCCTATAATCAATGACACAAACTTAGCCATTATCACCAAATAAATCACTCTCACTATCATCATGTTTTCTCCCTAATGGACTGTTTAGCTGATGCCTATGAAAATTGACAGCATCTAAGCAACTCTCATGCAAAGATCTGACATGTTGACAATTTGGATAGCTTCTTATACTGCACCCTCCTGTGCCTCATAATTCTCTGTTAACACGTTATAGTGTTACCTTTTGTTCTCTGTTTTTCTGTAACTCGGAGGAACAGTGTCAATGAATGAGACTTCAGCGTGCTATGGTAACATAATTTATGTTAATTGTCTATCACAACAGATTATAATAATAGGGAGATCAAAATTAAATTACAAAATCAAAACGCACATGTACAATACCATGACTTTGCTATCTGCCTCAAAATTATTGACGCATGAACTTCACACTTGTGAGTTGTAATGATATTTGCTATTTGTTGCCAAATATTGCTGATTTTTTTTTTGGGCTAGCTGTAAGTACTAATTACTGCGAGATGTTAAATCTGTACATATAGTCAGCTCGCAGCTATCTGCAGGCAGATTGTTCGTGTCACAGATGAATTGTGCCACAGATGCAGTCACAGCTTGGGTTTGATGGGGTTTATTAGCTCTAGCTCAGTGCTGGGCCTGCCAGGCTGGTGTTGGCTGCACATGGAATCGCTCCAGTGTCTCAGTGACGTGCTTGCTGCTGATGCTCCCCCTGACAAAAATGTATTTGCTTGCATGCAGTACCGAAGCCATGCTAATGTTACTGGTTTGCAGTGCATTAATGCCTAGCAGCAGTCTTTACTATGGGCAGGGGTAGTGCAGAGATATATAACCCATGATTTCATAGTGTGGGTTTTGCGGCAGCACTGTGCTGTGAGGGTTACTGGGTTTAAAAACCCCGTGAAAACAGGTAGATATTTTAACGTGTATTTCCAAATGACAGCTTGCACAGGAAAACCAAAGCAGTAAGAGTGGGACGGGGGATCGGTGAACCTCCCTGGGCACGGCACGGCACTGTAGCTCGGGCACGGCACAGCAAACAGCCTCGCTCGGAGGTCTAAGCACCCTGCCCGCGCGCTTTGCAAGCACGCAGGAACGCCTGGCAGACTTTACTTTGCACGGGCTTGCCTGCAACGAGGTGTTCGCCAGGGTTCGGTTCCCTTTTTTTCCTCATGTGGTGCAGAAACTAACCTCAGACAGCTTTGACATCACTGTTTTCTAGACATTAAAACGCACTGTTTTGGGACAGACCCGGCCGGGCGCACTGACGAGGCTCGCGCGAGCAGCACCGCCGCGAGCAGGGCAGCAGCCGGGGCCGCCGCCGCGCGGCGCCGCCATTTCCCGCTCTCGCCCTCACGGCCGGCCTCTTTCCGGGAGGAGGCGGGGACCGGCGAGGCACGGACCGTCCCGGCCGCAGGCGGCGCGGGGGAAGGGCGCGGCCCGGCCATGCAGCCGGAACGGGGCGGCAGCCGGCCCCGGAGGGAAGGTGGCCGGCACGGCCGGAGACGGCCCGGCGGCGCGGAGAAGGCGGCCGAGTCGGCGACCGAAAGCGGCGGCGCGGACGGCCACGGCCGAGGAGGGACCGGAGGCCGCGGGAGAGGCGGCGCTCACGGACACCGAGGAGGCGGAGGCCGAGGGAAGCGAGAGCCTCGGGGCCGCGGGGCAGCGCCGCCGCCGGCCGCGCAGCAGCACCGGCGGGTAAGGAGGAGGCGGAGGAGAGCCCGCCCTCCGCGGCACGGGAGCGGGGAGAGGCGGGGCCGAGCGCGGCGGGGCCCGGCGCGGGGCGAGTGGCGGCGCTGCGGTCCGTCGCTGCTGTCGGTGCGCTGCGGGGTGGTGGTTTTCTGGCCGAATGCATTTATGGTTTTGTGCTGGGAAATACTCTTTTGAAGAGTCCAGGAGTGCAAATAGAGATGAAGAACTGCTGAGTGTTTTTGGCGCAGGTGGTTACAACGAGTGTGTGCCCTTCCCACCTGCGCGGAACTCGCGAGAACGTGGGGACAGCTTGCGGGGCAGATACCCGAGTCACGGGAACACGCGTTTGTCACGAGGCGCAGTCACTGGCCCGTGCTTGAGCTAAACATAATGGCTTTTAACAGGTTAAAAATAACGCGAAAGTGTCTGCCAGTACCACGCTCACACCTTCAGTTTGCTATGGAGATGTTAAAATGTTTTATGCAGCCCACCATGGTATGAGATCAACACTCTGCCTTCAAAAGTAAATTCCATTAACAATGGCACTTTCTAATTCGGGGTTGAGTGCTCTGGCGGTACTGCCTCCGTTCGGGTTGCCTTGCTTCCTTCAGTTTTGTAGCAACATAGAAATACTGACTGTCCCAGGGCTGGCAAAAAGGATGTAGTCACAGCCTGACAGGTTGGTGCTGGCAGTGTGCGGCTGTCCTGGGGTCACAGAGCAGCTGCTGTGTCACGCTGACTGTATTCTCTTTTGTGGTATTGTGGTTTCCACTGGCCAGTGTTTTGTCTGTATTAGAACACCCGTGGTTGCTGTTGATTTTCAAAAACTGTAAGATATTTGTTCATTTTGTCACTGCATGCACATTTTAACATTCATTTTTAGGACAAAAATGCAGCTGGATTGATGCAGTCACCTAGAGTAGGGTTGTAGTTTCCCTTGTATGCAGTATAAGTCTCTAAATATGTGCTGAAGCGTGCAGACAAGTTTGGGTTCTGTTTGTGCGCTCTCATGCACCACAGAGGCATGGGGTAGGATTTCAGCACCTGTATCAGCTGAGAAAACTGCCATGGGTTGATTTTTCTTTGCATCGCTCAACTGTTTCTTAATAACTTAAAGCATGTCTGTAACTGTGTTCTCTTCAGTAGCATTGTCTTCATGCAGCATGACAAACTTCTTAGTTTAAATTATGTACTCAGTAAGGGAATCAAACATATGCATGCTTTTTTTTTTTCTTTCTCTTTTGTCTGGGTTATTAATTGAAATATTTTAGGAAACAGCTGAAGTATTTTATTTTTAGACAGTTTATAATATGTTTTGCCTGAACACTGATTGATATCCTCTTCATCTTAGCCTAGTGTAATGACTTCATCTGTTTGTCTTAGGCCATGGCTACTATGAATTGTGTGTTTAAAAGTGAAGCCAAACTTCACTTTTAGGGGTTTCCTAGAACTCCACTAATCAGAGTTAAAGCATAATGCTTTCCTATTCTTAAGGCCTGTATGCTCTCAGCAGGTCTTGCATTTCCACATGCTCCTAGCAATCTAGCCACAGTGCCAACACCTGGCAGCCTGCACCTGGGGATGTCTAGAGTTTGAGCCAAACTAAATGTGTACTGCTTGGAAACAAGGTCTTTCATCTTGCTCTCCTTTTTTTTTTTTTTTTTTTTTTTTCAACTGTGTGTTCATTTCAGTCTGGTGAATGCTAGACTGGGTTCTCTGAATGGTTCAGATCTGATCTGGGAAGAAGTTGTCTCCTTTATTTCTGGCTCTCAGCCTTCAGTCTGCTCTGCAAGGCCACTCGCTTTACCAGCTCAGAGGGAGGGAGCTGGGCCCAGTGTAAGTGGTTTGTGTGAGAGGTGACTCTACTTGTTTTAAGGCTTGGACTCCACTTCATATGTTTGTATGCTACTGTGAGTGTGCTCTAATTCTTTTAGTAACAGGTGTTGAACTGTGCTACTTTCCAATCCTGCCAAGATCCAGTATTTGCTGAGTCAGTTCTTCCCTTCTCCTCTGGGTGATAATGTAGAAGGAGATCAGGATGCTCTTGGTTGTAAATCGTAGGCTGCTCTTCCGGTAGATTCATCTGTGGATCAGCACCTTAATAGTGTTGATTTCTGTTGGCCATTAAGACAGTAGCTTTCTGAACAGCTTTAAGGAACAGCTCGGTTCTTGAAAGAATGTTCTGCTTCTCTCGAGCATGGGATTGGTTTAGGAACTGGGAGGAAAAGTGCTTTTATTCCTTGGGAAGAAGAAAAAGAGTCTTGCACTTCTCAGAACTAACATGCATTGTGATTTAACTGGCTTGACTGCTGAAGGTTTTGAATCCTTGTTTAAAAAATAGTATTAATCTGAAGTCTGATTATGACCAGCTGGTTCACCACATGGCACATTTCTTTGAAGATCTGTCAGCTTGAGTAACTTTCTGTTGCTCATCTGCTTTAACTTATCTAATTTATGTTAAATAAATAGAACACATTTGCAATTATTCATTTTTAGTATTGTGAATATGCTCAAAGTAAAAAATTCCATTGAAAATGCTTCGGTGTTATCTCCTTCTGTCCTAACTCCTCTAATGTGATAAGGATTCATATCTTTTTTTTTTAATGTACTGTCAGAAACTTTGAATAGTGCTGTCTATAAAATATAGTCTGTTTAAAAAATAAAATTGTGGATATTATAGTCAACTTTATTTTGATAGTCCTTTACCATTCCTTCTGAGGGCTGTTTAAGAAAGCTTTCTTCTGTCCTTTAATTTAATGTTCGTCAAATTTGTGATGTACAAAACATTCTTATAACTTTCTGTTCGGAATTATTCATTGCATGTGCATGCAATGGTTCAGGTTTAGTTCAGTGTTCTTTTGGTATTGGTTACACATAAAGGTGAATATGTTGATTTTGTTGCATTCTTTCTTACCTTGTGCATTCATTCTTAATTTTGAGAAGATACGATATTTGTTGATTTTGTTTTTAAATTGTCTAAAATAACATCTAAGTTATCAGAATCAGATGATTTTGCTCTTAATTAGTATGTGCCAAACCTTTACAGTCTAAGCAATTGCAAAAAGCAATCTGTTCACAGGCAGCTGCACAGAAACAAAAGCTAGGATTTGTTGAATACGTTGATTTCTTTTAGAGCGCTGTAACACATCCTGTGTGTGTAGGAACAGAAATAGATATCCACATCTTGAGCGCAACACTTCTTTTGATGCTTTATATTAATGTCCTCAAAAGCAACTGGAAAAAAAAAAACCGCTTCTTTAGATCAGTGTATATCAGTTTGTGAGCTGTACTTAATTACTAACCAGGTGTGAAGAGTTTCCCTTCTTAGCAGCTTCTCTGGTTGATGAGGCATGAAGCAGCACTGACTGATTGCCCTGGAATGTGGTTTACTTTATTTGGAGTGTAGCGATTTAGATTGAGCCTCTCCATGGCTGTGTGAACAAGTGGTTGGAAACTTCATTACTCTTCAAGTGTCAAATTGGTGTTTGTTAAATGTGATCCTGCAAGGCCTCTCTGCAACCTCCTGAGAATCGGAAGCACAGAGGGAGGTGCTGGGCACTTCTCCCTGATGTCTAATGACAGGATGCATTGGAATGGCACAGCTGCCAAATGGGAGGTTCAGGCCGGGCATCAGGAAAAATGTCTTTACTGTGGGAGAGGTCAGATGCTACAACAGGCTTCCAAGCAAGGTGGCTGATGCCCCACATCTGACAGTTCTCAAGATGTGTTTGGATAATGCCCTTAATGATGTGCTTTAGCTTTTGGTTAGTCCTGAGGTGCTCAGGCAGTTGAATCAGATGATCTTTGTAGGTCCCTTTCCAATTGAACTATTCTATTTCTATTCTATTTCTATTCTATTTCTGCATGACCCAGGAGGGAAGTTGGAAGGATCTAGTTCTTTTTTTCAGTCCAGCACAGAAGATATTTTGGGAAAGCATGGATTAGCAGTGTTCCATTAAGCAGGAAGGTTGCTGCATACAGATCAGAAACAATATGTTTTAGGCAAGACAAGAAGAAAGACATATTCATAGGAAGGTCTAATTTGGGCACTGGGAATTAGAATGATGACCAAAAGGATAGATACAATGTGTAATACATTTTCTAGGAAGTATATGGAAATCAGTATATAAAAATACTGTTTTAAAAATATGGTGAGGGTTACAGAGCCCGCTCAACTGCTGTGTAACTGCTTATCACGTCCCCTTTCTATTCCCTTTCTTCTTGTTTTTCCTTTGATTTTTTTTTTCTTTTTTTTTTTTCCCCAAGCTGTCTGCATTGGAAGAAAAGAAATGCTTTTTATCCAGCCAGAATTAGTTTATTCTGTACAGTTGCTAGACAGTGGAGAAAACTGCTTTTCAAAGAGCCAGGGAATGCGTGGTGGTAACCATCCGTGATTGCTATGGTTTAATGGGATTGTTATTCTTTCTATTTTACCAACTTTCCTTTTGATTTTAACTCAAAACACTTGTACTGAAAACATCTTATTAAATAGGTGAACGTGTGGCATCCTGCTGCAGCTTCACGGCTGACATCTTTTTGTGTACCTTGATGATACTGAGCTCTATTCTACGGTTCTGACGGCTGTGCCTGTTTTTCTGCCTTAGTAGTTTTAACAACTACTGTTCCACTTTTCTTCCTGAGGTCTTTGAGGTAATAACTGGATACCTTTAAAACAGGTTGTCCTGAAGTTTTGTAAGCCTCATATTTTGTTACATGAAAGACAGTTGTGAATCACATCGTTGTTTAAATTCAGTTGTCACACGTAACGGAGTGGACGTTACTCAGAGGAAAGGCAAAATGGGAACAGCTTGAACGCCAGACAAGCTCTCCCAAGAGCCCGCCGTTGTGGTGAGCTGAAGCGTCAGCATTTAAGGAAGGACGAGGCTGCAGGTTTCAGGAGCCATGTTGGCGCTGACTCGCTGTGGGGGCAGTGGGGGAGTGCGCAGCTGCTGCCAGGCGGGGAGCAGGGAGGAGGGCTTCGGGCGGGAACCGCGCGCTGGGTGAGT